TCTAGGTTTAATCTGCCATTGAAATCATTAAAATCATTAGTCCACAACAGTTTATATATGCAACATTACTTTCTACCTCCTCCTTTTGAGCGAACTGATGACCCACCGTAAACTGAAAATATTGTAATGATGTTTTTCATTAAGGTTATAGGTACTTCGTTTTTAATTGACCTACAAAGAGACTAAAAACCGGTCAATTATAATTTTTTAAAACTTTCCATATATATATCTATTTTTTCTAATATATCTTTAAACAAGAAGTAAGAAGTAAACAGCTTTATTTTCCTAGGTTATCAGTAAACAAATTTTAATGTTTAAATCAAAAGTATGTAATCATGATGGCTAATTTTTGAAATTGAAAGAAAGTTTTTCATTAGTACATAACTTTTCTTCTGGTATGTATATGATTGAATGCCTTTGAATATTATATATTGTTCCCATATATATTACTGCATTTATTTCTCACACCAGGTGATTGTTATAGAATAATGAAAAGCATTTAAAATATTTATAATTTTTTTTTTAAATTATTATTATAAAAAGTATATTAATTTCTTTTCCTATTCTAATTTCAGGTGCATTTTGCTAATAGCAGCCCTACCAGAGTGCCACAAATGTTAGATTTTAGGGACCAACACACACCTCAGGAACGTAAGTTATTCATAACAGTTTTTGAATAAAAATTTAGTTTCGTAATAGAAATCAAATTAAAAAATTAATTTTAAATAACTAAAAAAAAACATGTATAATTGTAATTTTTATTAGAATATAATTAATTCAAATTATATAACCTATTTTATATAGACGATTTACTACGTGTTTCTCCAACTGATACACTTGCATTCTCCACAACTAATGGCAATGAAAGTGTATTGGACCTTACAAGTTTAACCAATGTTCCGATCACATATAAGGTAAATTTATATAAATATTTTTAAAACTAAGAAATATAAACCATATACTATGACTTATATTTCAGATTCAAACAACATCTCCAGAGAAGTTTCGTGTACGACCACGATGTGGTGTTTTGAATCAAGGTGAATCGGTCACTGTTAATATCTTATTAAAACCAGATCAGACACTAGCCGATGGTGGTTTGAAAAAAGAAAAAGATAAATTTCTTGTTATGGTACATCCAGTGCCTTCAAACATCGATCAATCGGAACCAATGACAACATTTTGGAAGCAAGTGCCTCCTAACAGTCCAAACATAGAGGAGCATCGTTTAACTTGTGTATACAAAGGTTCAACAGATATCGCACAATATGCTAATAATGAAAAGTCAAAATCGAACGTTGATCAAATCGGCAAAGATATTGTTAATATTAGTGATGTAAGTAATGACACTTCTCTGTATAAAGTTGAACATTTTAAATCATTTAATGCATCTTTAACATATATCGACTTTTACTGGTGATATTAAACTATTTGAATAAAAATAAAGTTTTGGGATATTTAATAAATACGGCACACCTTGAATAGCTTCACTTCAGTTTGTGACAATAGATATAGTTTGTAATATAAAATAACAGCATTGTAGGCTACAAACGGAACCAAATAATGCGAACATAGTAGAACTACGGTTACAACTGACCTTCACCGAATATTCAGTTTATCAAATGTAAATGAAAATATTTATCATTACGGATTATATTAAGTGAGATCAAAATTGGAGCTTTCGAACAAATATTCTCCTTTTACTCCAACTCAAAAAAAAATAAATGGTCAGAAACAATATGAATAGAAATCTAGCATAAACTCCTTCCAAGTAAAAAAGAAATTTTGTCATCCCAGATGGACCTTACTTATTCAGATGGATACAAGGAAATTTACTTTTATAATTTCAATATGCGTCACCAGAGTTCATTTGTATTGTCTTAATAGATTTTTATGAAACAATTTTATATATTAAATATTTAAAATATTTCTTTACGTTTCAAATAATTAGTAATGTAGTTCCCATTTCATTACTTCTAGCTATCAGCACATGCCAAGAAGATGGAGAAGCAACTTAAATACACACAAATCTTACAATGCATCACGTTGCTATTCATACTCTTCCTTGCCACAGTTGTGGTGTATTTAATGAAGATGCAATTACAATTTAATCCACAGGCACACATAGATGCGGCACTAAAAGCTGAGATGAATAAGTTTACGTGTTTGCCTGGCCAAACATTATAATATCTAATGTCGAAGTGCAATTTGACCGAGCAACAACTTCTGGAAACTGCCAAATGCTGTAGATCGCACTTAGATCTAACCATAAACCAATTAAAAAATTTTGAATTCGATACTGGAGATAATGAATTTGAGGTTGATTGCGGAAAGCTCTTCAGCAAAGAAACTGGTGGTGTTGCAGGAGGTGGGTTTTTGCTTGGTCTAATTGCGTTCGCACGTAAATTCGCACGATTCATCTTATCATTTTCGATGCTGATTTGCATTATAACTCTAACATTTTATTTTTATTCCGTAACGAGAACAAATGAAACTGCAATCGCACCCTACATACACAAAACACAGGAACATTGGCCAATTAATTAATGAAATAGTAGTAAATAAGACTTGTAAATAAATGTATGTTTCTTTTTAATTTAATATTTTAATTAACTTATTGTTTTAACTATATGTATTTTAAATTTTATAATTACAAATATAAATATATAGAAAACAAAACTTTTTATTAAAATGATTTTATATAGAATCAGTGGTTTTATATATATGTAGCATATATAATACATGTAATATAAATAGTATATACCAATAATTATTTATATTATTCATATAATTAATATATGTGAGTCTGTTAATATATAATGTGTACTCTGATAGTATATATCATATATGTTATGATAATATATTTATTACTAGTTCTATTTAATTATATAATTATTGTTTAAAATTTATTAAAAATTAAAACAAATTACAATGAAAATATAATATTAATAAATATAGCATAAGCAAATATAATTAATTTAATTATTGGAACAAAAATTAATTTTTCTTTTAATTTTTTATATAGACTCAAAATTTAACTTATACACATGTATTATGTATCTAAACAATATGTTTATAAACATTTATTTATGTGTATTTAAAAAAAATTGAAAAATCCGAACATACATATATGTAATAAATGCCACTATGTATCAAACACAAAGGTATAAAATCTGTGGAATATTGAGAAAAATAATTACATAAATTGGAAAATGCATTCAAATTTACATACCTAGAACATGACAAAAATTATTTTTAAAAGGACAAAAGGTATGTCTTAAGAATACCGTAAAGATTTTTTTTTTATACAATGGATATAATTCAAATAAAAAATAAAAATCAATATGAAAACCTAATTCAAAATCTTTGTATTATGTTTTTGGTTAAAACATAGTTGGTTGTTGTTGTAACCCGCCGGGACCTATAAGCAGATAACATGAAAGGATACACAAGACGATTAAACGAGTAGGGAAGTGAGTGGGTAGAGGTTAGGGGAGATGAAGGGGGAGGAAGGATAAAAGGTTTATATTGAACATTATACCGGATAAACATATTTGGTCAAAATAAATAGTATTTCATTTCTTATTAGTAAATGTTGCAAATAAGGTAACATATTTTACAATAAATATTGAAACTATTGATGTGTTAAAACTACTAAAAGTTTTTGTCATTAAAATATTGTAAAGAAACTAAAACTGATTGTGAAATTATTATATTTTACCATTATCAGTGAATATCGCAAGTGAAATATATGTATAATACCATACAATTGAATATGTTTCAATATTAAGTTGTAAAAAAGCACTGAGAGAACCCCACATCGATGAATCGATGAACTCGTTTTCAAGAGTTTTATTCCATATTTTCACTGCACTTAGCAAACACTTTTTTATATTGCATGCTCGTTGGAAAATTTTTGAAATAAATGGGAATTCAAAGAGCGGAAAGTGGAAGCTAGAAAGGGACAATATTTAAAGTATGTAATATGTACTTTAAAAAAATCATAAATCATTAATGCCACTACAGTGTGATAGGTCAACAGATGAGTGATGTCATAAGCGATATTGCGGCCTATTACCATATACATATGGTGTAGTTACAAGTAACTATACTGTTTCTTAAGTTGTCCCAGTACAGTTCTTAATGCGAAATAAATTCTGTTTGTATCCCTATTAATTTAATCCAAATTATCTTAAACACCTTGTTATTTTATAAACATTGTCTTGAAGAAAGCACATAGTCTCGATATGGAATTCTGGTTTCGAAGAGAGATACCAATGTGAAAAAGGAGGAAAAAGGTCTTGACTGATTCATTAATCCAATTTTGATATCTAGTTATTTGGCTCGCTAGAAAAAGTTGGTTGGATAGTAGTTGATTATGCTCTTTGAAAAAAGCATTCTAGAAACCGCATGAAAATGAAAATATACGACGGTAGCAGGTTGAAATATACAATGCAGAATTATGAGATATTTGAATACGTAGCGTGCAGCATAAATTGCAATAGGTCGCTCAGTTGCTTTGTATATGCCAATTAGGTTTGCTTGGATGTATGATGGACGATGTCATACTGTACTAATATAAACACAGTACTGAATATAATTTCTATATATATATCCAGTTACTACAATTTTTAGCAGTAGTATCGTCGTGGGCGAAATTAGAAGATGCACCCTATGTATTATCGAGACCCATATAAAAAACACTATGGCTGCCACTCTGCTGATTGAATGTTGAAAAAAGTATAACATTAATCACAGCGACGCCGTTCTTTATTACGCAGTGCTTAAAAGAATCTTTTGTATGCCGCAAAAAATTAATAAATCTTATAGTTTTAGTGCGATTGACAGTAAAAGGGCTATTGTTTAATATTCTATTGTGTAAATAGACTAATAGAAATAGAAAATAGTTAACTATTAAATAGAACTATTGTTTAAATTGGATTTGGCGTACCTTTATTTAATCAATCTGAGCCGATTAGGCCCTCATCAACCACCTTTAATAAGTCATCTGGTTTGAATAAATTTTATTAAGTCAAGATTGATCATTTCTTCTAATTCTAAAAAGTAAAAATTTCTTTAGGTGTTAACCGTTAGTATGAACAATTATTTTTATTATTATTATTCCCATACTCCATTAGGAGCGTAAGGAGTCTACAAGAGTTTTCCACTGGTTTCTATTTTGTGACATTGCTCTTAACTCGTTAAATGATTTGCCCGTCTCTTGCTGAACTGTCCTTCTCCAGGTCATTTCTGGTCTGCCTCTTCGCTTAGTCCCCTGGGAGTTCCGAGTAAATGTAGCATGCGCGATATCTTCATAAGGCTTACGGAGTGTATGTCCAATCCAATCATACTTTTGCTCGCGCTTTTCGAATACGACTATTAATGTCTTTTTTCGCACCTCCATCTACCGATAGAATACTCCATAAGTAAGTAAAGCTCTCGGTGTCTGTGAGAAAACAATACAATGTCATTCGCATACTCTAGATCTCCCAACCTATACCTAGTCCTATACCTATACCTAGTCTATATACCTATACCTAGCGCTGGCCAGATCGCCCCTCTTTTGAAGACGGCATACAGAACTGTAATGAACTCGATGCACTGTTCAATGATAACACGCATGCTATTTATATTCTTGACAAAGGACCGGTTCGTTCGAAAGCCTCCTTGATTTTGCGAAGTTGTTCATTTATTAGTTGAATAACATAATGCGTTTCAAAATTATTTTGTTGAAAATTTTGCTTAATGTGGAAAGTAATGAAATCCCTTTCCAGTTGTTACAATCGGCAAGGTTATCCTTTTTAGATACTAGACTCTCAATGCTTCATTCCAGTCGGATGGTATCTCTTCTGAGTGCCAAATGTTCTTAAAAAACGGGAATAAGATTTCGGTGGATTATGTAATGTCAGCCTTCGAACATTCAGCTGGTATATTATCGGTACCTGCAAACTTTCCGATTTTTAACGTATGTATTGCTTCTGAAATTTCTTCTTTACTAGGTGGTTCAGTGCTAATATTACGTAACAGTCTTCTCATTCCGCCGATTCGAGGCAATTCTCGATTGTTTGCAAGAACATTGAATGTTTTTTCAAAGTGGTCCCGCCAAATTTTTAATTGATTGTCATCCTTTGTTTTAACGTTTTCCTCCTGGTTTCATAACGGCACATTTCTTATGGAACTATCATTTGTAAGTTTTCTGGTTATTTGGAATAGGATTTTCAAGTCCTTCTTCTGTGCAACGTTTTCAGCGTCTTGCGCTAGAATTTTAAAGAATTCTCTCTTATCTTTCCTTGCACGTCGTTTAATTTGTTTAGTCAGATTATCGATGTCTCTCTGAAGCTCCAAACCGCTTCTTGTATTGGACTAGCTTAAGAGTTTTGCCTTTTTCTTCTTTCTGGCTTCTACTAATTGCCAAAACGCAACACTTAACCATTCTTTACTTGTTTCTATTGCATTGCCAAGCACTTCAGTAGCTGCTTCTAAAATGACATTTATTTCCAAATTTTCAACATCAGACGTCTGGCTATCTCTACATCTATTTTCGTATTTGGTTCGCATTGACTGCACAAAGTCTAATCTAACATTGTTGTCTTTCATTTTATTAATTTGGAACTTTTTTCTGTTTGAGTTATTGTTACGCATAACACAAGTTGTTTTAAATCTGAATTCTGCTAATACCAGGAAGTGGTCACTGTCTATTTCCGCGCTTCTTTTATTTCTGACGTCAAGTAGTGTTCTTGCCTAACGTTAGCTGACACAAATATGGTCCAATTGTTTTGTGCACTGCTTTGTGTATAAACATCGAGCTTCCTATTACCAAACCATGTTTCGAGCACATTTCTAACAGGAGGTCACCATTTTCATTTCTTTCTCCAACGCCGTGTTTTCCAATCACATGTTCTAAACCGGAATCAGTGTTACCCTTTCTTGCGTTGAAGTTTCCTATTAGAATTATAATGTCGTTGTAGTTGACATACGAACTGCTCTTCAACTTCTGTTTCACTCTCTTCTGTGGGAGCATAACATTGGATAATTGTTATTTTACGCAATTTAGTGTTTAGACGTGCTGTTATTATTCGTTCTGATATTGCGTGCCAATTTAATAGAGCATTTTTAATTTTTTGGTTCAGATATTAGAATTAGGCATCCCTGTGTATATAATTAAATCTTCACTTGCAGTATGTTTTCCATCTCATTCGAAATATTCGTTCCATCTCATTTCACTGATGTCCAAAACATCAACGCGTAGCCTTTTGCACTCAGATGTCATTTGTGCTAATTTTCCTGCTTGAAATAGAGTTCTAACATTCCACTGAGCAAGTCGAGTCATTGTACGTAAGCCATTGTTCGTCATCAAAATATTCAGTCAGTTTGTTTCTCAACCTTTAACTCTCAAAGTTTGGTAACAGGGCTGCTGTTATATCAGTATTATTTGCTAGCATGTGGCCTCCAAACCTGTCACGTTTCGCTGTGTGGTTATAGTCATTTCCTACTATACCAAGATGTCAGCATAGTTGTACCGCCAAGTACTCGGTTGCCAAAGCTTGTTCAGTGAAAACAGATGTACCGCGGGAAGGTAGAAGTTGACATCTGATATATTCCAGACCCCATACCCCATTAATGTTCAATAATTTTGTCTGTATCCTCATACTAACAACTCCTAAAGAAATACAAAACTTCAACTTCTAGTACATTTTTAATATCAATATATAACATAGCAACATAAGCCCCAATTGTTAAATAAGTTCTATTTTAAATAACTTTAATATTTTTATAATTAAGAGTAAGAAAAATCGAAATTTTAGTTTACTCCTTATTAGAATTTTTCCGATACGTAATGCCTTTTTCAAAATTTTGCAGTAAACTTAAATTTTAAATTATATTTAAAATTAAGTTTTCAGTTTGTTCCATATGTTTTATATTAATTCCCTCTGACCCTCTATTTTTTATTATAACAAATTTGAATATGTTAAGACTTTCTCAGAAAGATTTTTTACTATTTCCCAGAATAGATGAGGGTCAGAGTGTGTTAGACCTACAGAGCTTGACTAATGTTCCCATCACATTTAAAGTAAATATTTATATATAATTTTAGAAATGTTAAATATAAAATATATTGCAGTTGAAAACAACATCACCGGAAAAGTTCAGTGTCAAACCAATTGCAGGTATTTTGAAAAAAGGCGAATCGGTCAAAGTCACTATCAATCTCAAGCCGGGCCATACAATAGCAGAAAGTCATGGAAAGGATAAATTTCTTGTTTTAGTTATGCCAGTTCCAGTAGGCGTTCATCAAAAGGAACCTTTAAAAATATGGAAAGAAAATCTACCTCACAATTCTTACATTGAAGAGACTCGTTTAGTTTGTGCCTATAAAACTAATAGCGAAGTAAGAAGAGACGAACGACAAATTCCTTGGTTCAAGGAAGAAACTAACATGAGTGGAGACCGTTCAAATCGTAATGCACAAAAAGAACCTCAAATAGAACACGAAAATAAAAAAGAACCGTTAGTAGAGCAAAACTTACAAACAGAGCCTGCTAAACTGTATGAAACACATTCAAATAAAGAGCTGTTACCTATGCCTGTCAGTAACTTTAATTTTCAAACAGAGCCTGTAACACAATTTCAACCGTACAAAAATGAAGAACCCTTAAATAAGCCTATCACTGATGAATATTTACAAACAGTGCCTCTTATGTCGTTTAATCCACATGTAACTAACGAACAGTTTAAAAAATCCAAAAGTGATGAAAAAGTACAACTAAAACCTTTTGTGCCAGAAGAATCGAAAATAAATATAGGTCCGATAGCGAGTCCTAGTGATCAAATTACAACTCAAGACCTATTAGGGCCTTCCGCTGAAGTAAGTATTGATATAATTAGAATTAAATGTAATTTAATGTAGTAATGCATAATTTATTACAAATTTCATACAAATCGTTAAATTAGTTTGAATATATCTTTTTTTTTTTATAGACTTTCTTAAATGATTTTATAGTAGTCCTTTATTTTTAACAGTACTCAAAAATAACTCACAAGTACAATTATCATTGTTATAGATAAAAAAATTTGTTTGTTTTTAGAAATGGAATAAAATATTATCCGTTAATTTTACTTAAAAACGGTTTTTAGTAAAGGCAATTGGTTTAAACAATTTTTTCCACAACGCATAAAAACCACCAGCTCATTTGTATATACTAATATAACACTAGATGACCTGTGTCGTTTTTGTCAGTGTAATCAAATTTAAAATGTAACAACTTTAAATCTGGGTATATATAGAAATATGTTATATTGAGATATAGCTTACATAGTTCAAAAACTTGTTAAAATCTGTTAAATGAAACAGAGATCAATGATGATGTTCAAAGTATATTCATGCTCTTCCCACACTGATAAACAGACACCTATATGACTTGATATCTTATCGTCTTTGAAGTATATATGACATAATTAGATAATACCATCTTATTTAGATGATGATTTTAGTGACTCATTATCAATTTCGCTAAGTTGAGGTAAGATACTTCTTTATAGTCAAAAATATGGATTAGTTTGCTGATAATGAATAGGTTATGAACCCTGAAAATATGTAAATCTACTTTTTATTCAAGAAATATTCAATATATTTTTATAAGAATTTAAAAGGCTTTTATATACGAATGACATATATCTAAATCAGACATGGAGTAATATTCGCATTACTTTTTTGTTCCTGTAACAAATTTTTGTGTTGCCACCGATTTACTCAGTAACTCATAAATCGATTAAATTTACTTGACTTTGATTTATACTAGGGAATTTTTGTACCTAGTTTTTGCATTTGCATTGTATTTGCTACTTGTTCTATTGTGTATTTTATAATTATTTACAATCAATTATATTGAAATATGTTTATTAAACAGTGGAAAAGAACAAACTGTACCTCTAACTTATCATAAATGTATACATTATGCACACACAGTGAATATGTAATTGAAAATAAAAATTATAAACATAAGAATAATTAAAAAAAATAAATAACATAAAAATTATAATAATTAGAAAGAGGAAAAAATTATTTAAAATAGCATTATATGAAATATCTTTATTTATATAAAGATATAAAACATACTTTGTATTTTAATATATTTTTAAATATATATATCAGCTCCCATTTCTCTCTACTACTACATATTTCAAATATATATATTTTTGTTTTTTTCCTTTTGATAAAATTAGCTGTTAAATACAAAATCATTTAAAAAAATTAATTAGCTATTTTTAAAAATTAAAAGGATTCGAATAGCAAAGAAAAGACAAGAACAAAACTTTAGTTAGTTTATTGAAATTTACCTGACCATACAACGCTGTTTCAAATATTGCCAAGCACTCACCATCAGTGATCTTAGGAAATATTCGAATTTCTTTTCAATTAGTTTATAGTCCATACATAATTTTTTTGGGCTTAATTTGTTTGGACTTAAAAAATTATTACTTGACATTCGAACGTTTATGCATTTTTATTTTTAGGTATTTTCTCCTGGTACTCCAATGTCTACTGCTAAAAAGGATACTGATCGTAAGTGCTTAATAATAAAATTATTATATGAGAAAATATAAATAAAATATATAAATGTATGTAATTAATATTAAAAAAAAAAACAAAGAACACCACTTGAACTTATGACTCCCTAATTTTTTTTATTTTTTGTGTAGTTGGTCTTATGAGTATTTCTCCAAACGATGTTCTGATATTCCCAAGAGGTGAAAAAAGTTTAACTGTTTTAAAACTTACAAGTTTAACACACTCTACTCTTACTTTTATGGTAAATTTTTTGTTTATTTTTTGTTTATTTATTTGCTTATTTTTTATTTTGTTTTATTTTATTTATATGAGCAACTAATATATGTACTTTATAGATAAAGACAACATCAGCAGAAAAGTTCTTTGTTAAACCCTATGTTGGTTTGTTGGGTCCATTCGAAACAGTAAGTGTTACTATTAAAATTAAACCAGAACAATATCTTGATGAAGGTACTACAAATCAAAAATTTCTTGTTATGGCGATGAAAATCCCTCCAGATATTGATGCATCACATATTTTGCTAAATATCTGGAAATTAGTTACTCCGAGGAGTCCTTATGTTGATAAACATCGTTTAACTTGTGCTTATTCAGCCCCACTGGATTTATCAACAAAAAGTGATCATAATTTAATAAGTCCAAGTGAAAAAGCTATATTAAAACCAACAATAAATCCAATTGCAATATTACCAAATCCTAATACTCAAAAAATTAAAGATTCAAATTATACAGTGTATGTAAATGATAATAAACAAAACACTCCAAAAAAACCGGAGATGGTGGAAAATACTAAAACAGTTGTTAAACCAGATTATCCCATTGAACATCATGAACATGATTATCCTTATGGTGATGAAGAGGTAAGCTATCGTTGTATATATTTCAATGACATTAATACCAATCTTTCAAACTTAAAAAAAATGAATTCAAAAACGTCCCTCATTCGTTTTGGAAACCATTTTCAATATCGTTCTCACATGAGCCACAAGCCATGTATGTGTGCTTGTTTATCAATCACAGAATTATTAATAATCAACTTATATGAATTACTATTGATGACTAATATATCAAAATAATCCAAAATTTATCATATATAAAGACCCGTCATTACCATATATAGCTAATGGATAAACAATAAAAATTATCTGATTTTGGATAAATAATAAAAATTACTTGATTATCCATCAATATTTTATAAACGATAAATGAATTCATCGTTTAGATGAACAATGTGTTGGTTTTTATCAGGAATTTCACTTTTTTTAGGAAGTACTCACATCCTTCCAATAAAAATCCGCAGGAGAATATATTTTAATTTTAAAATTTTTGCATAAAACAATAGAATTTTAGTATTTTACAATAATATCTAGATATATGTATTAACTTTACTCTAGCGAAACTTATCTCCACTCACGGGCTGCATCATGCGTGTTTCATGTGTGTTTGTAGTCTATTAGGGAAGTAGTTATGAATATAGTAGACCACTGGCAATGGCAACGTTTTATAATATGTACGATTGGCCCCGATAAAGAATCGACACCACTGACAATAAGTGTCAGCTTTTCAGTGTTTTTATTTTATTATTTTATAGTTTTTATTGCCTGTATTATTGACAGATTATATATATACTACTCCACAATTATTTCTCCACTCTGAAAAGTCTGGGTAGTTCCCAAACAAAACGCATATGTGGAAACTGATAAACGACTGGAGTTATAATTTTTTAAATATCTATAGACATTGTTGCCTCTCATACCAAGAAACGCGAACGTACGGAGACTGATATATATCAATATATATATATATTGAGTTTTGGATATAAAAAAATATAAATCAGGTTTTTAAAACGTAAAATCATACTACACGTTTATATGACTCATACTACTACTACACGTTAATATGACAGCTAAAATTACAATCAGATCTATTGTGTAAATCCAGTATTAGCAAAGTATGTTTTATAACGATAATCCCAATGACAACCCCAGATTTTATGTTATCTCTATATAAAATTAAAGAAATCATGCTCTATGAATGATAGGTGATACTAAGTGTGAGTGAATATTATTGATTTCTAGGCTCTAATCTTTGAAAAACCGACGAATGTGCTCTTCGGTGTCCTCTCTTGAGATAAATTACTCGGAAATTATATATAGCTATAAAAAACCTGTATAAGTAGTAAAAATAAATAATATAATATCGTTTTATAATGATATTACTTCACATAGAGTACACAGAGCCTCGTCATCATGAACAAAATAATTATATTTTATATATAATTAATTAATTAATTATATTTATATATATATATATACATACATATTTGTATTTATATAATTATGTGTCAGTTATTTAAATTAATATTATATTTTTGACATTAGGATTTAATTACTTTCTATTTCTAATTTTAGGATATGAGACAAAGTCGTATTTTAGGAGCACAACTAAAAATCACACAAGTTCTGCAAATCGTCACTTTGTTATTGTTATTTATACTCTCCATAGGGTTTGTATATTTATTGAAAAAACAATACGACTTTGAACACAGAATACCAACCGTTCCTGCAGTGAATCCTACAAAGATACATTATACTAACAGTCCTAATAATTTGAAGATGGGATCAATGAAGTATACGAATTTTGGTAAAAATGCCGGTAACCAATGTTACCGACGTCGGTAACATTACTATAAATAATACACAAAAAATTATTCGTAATTTTAAAGGTAACTTTCACTTTCGTATACTAATTAAATCACTTGCAAATATCCACATATATAACGAAAATTATTTTGCAATAAATAATGTTGAATAATATGGCTTTGCCGGAAAAACACAGTCTTTTTAATCAGATAATCACATAATAGTTTAAATGTGTTTATACTAAGACTTCGTATTAAACATGTTTAAGAGCACCTATTTTGAGAGCTTGTATGAAAATATGTTCCAGAACATGTTTTTCTATAAATATCAAAGATTTGCATTACAATTAGATTACCACATGTAGCTAATTTCCGCAACCATGAATAGCTCTTTTGCTTCTTTTTTGACATAAACATCCGCCTTTTCCTACTCCAACACCCTGACGCGTTTTAGATCCATCTGTATACCATTTTTGCAAGTTATCATGTAACCATGTTTGGTTAGCATTCCACACCTTCCTTGATGGGAAGAGGACACTGTATCTCTTGATGATATTAAATACTATATGTAGTGTTTTCCACCCTGGTAGGGATGGCCCCTAACATACAGGTACACATATATCATAAAATCGATTCGTCTTGTCATGCTGATCATAATCAAGATCTATTTTGACAAACTTAATTTAGTTCTTACTCACGTTAATCACATCAAGTTTATATCAAGTTTTTCTATAGTCAAAAATCTATGGATCTATCTGTAAGCAAAGTTTCAATATTTTCCAATATTTAACTACAGTGTATAAGTGATCAATATATTCTTTAATGCGAGATATTGTAATAGGGTTGCTAGTCTGTTCCTAAATTTTTCAAAAAATCCAAAACGGTTAACTGCAGGTTCAGAAATGCAAAACTCAATACAACCTTTCTAAAGTATATAATAGGAAAAAATGTTATTTAGGCTTCTATACAATATAAAAACTTCAAATATTTAAATAAAAGAAGAAGTAAAAATTACAGGCTACAAAAGAAATGAACAATAAAATAGGGAAGCAAATCAAATACATTTATTGATCTAAACAAATATAAAGACGAGAGCTTTCTTGGTATGTGGTTCAAGTTTGTTACAACCTAGTCGTAAAAATACAAGGATTATCATCGATAAAAAAACAGTGAAGCCTTATTTGATAATATTAAGCACAAGGTTACCGATAATTATAACCATAGCAAACGATATTTCACAGCAATTAGTACCTATTGCTATATAAGTACTGGTATCACTAAACATCATTACCAAGACTAATGAATCTCTTCCGTATACGGAATGCTGATGCAACGGTAATTAATTATATTGAGGCTAGTTGAGTCAGTGCATTTGAGTATTTTTATTCTCTTCTAAATGCGAGGTTTCTCCATAACCCCTCTCTACGCCTTGACTGGATTATTGTTTAACACTTTATCAGACTAAGCAATAACTGCAGTTCTCTATAAAAGTAAGAATATATTGCTTTTACTATATTTACCACTTAAGCCTATCTGAAGATCTGTAAGAAAGCAAAAAAAAATCTTCAAATAAAAGTAGCCGAAATGTGTGTTGAAAGGCGCTAATTGTTGATTAATACTTTTCAGAATAACTAAAAATTGCCATTAAAATTATTAGATATCGATTAATTATTTTCATAATTTTTACATATTTATTTTCCATAAATTTTGAAAATTACTGATATTGGGTAACGTAAGTATTAAATGTCATATTCTACTTTGAAAAAAAAATGATGTACATTTAAAATTTTAAAACAGCATTTTTTGTTTATAACGTATGAAATATTCGGTTATATTATATATATTTTATAAAACATTCATCAAAATTCACAATAAAAAAGACTTCAAAATTGATAACAGTTTTGTTTCTCCATCTGATTCATTTTAAATGAAATATGTTGCGAGTTTTGCCAAGTGAAATACTCACTTTTAGACAAAGTGATAATTTCGAAAGTTACCTAAATCTTTCGAATTTGTCATCGGCTCCAGTAACTTATAAGGTAAACAATTACACTTGACTAATATAAAAATATAGAATTTACAAACATAACATTAAATTTAGATTCAAACAACATCACCAGAGAAATTCCGCGTCAAACCACGTTGTGGTCTTTTACAGACAGGTGAATCGGTTTCTATCAATATTGCGCTAAAACCAGGTGAAAAAATAGCCGATGGCATCGGAAGAGATAAATTTTTAGTTATGGCGAGCCCAATTCTCTTCAACATCGATCCAGCTCGACCAATGACAGAATTTTGGAAACAAATGCCTCCTAACTCCGATATCAAGGAATATCGTTTGAGTTGTGCATATGAGAGCACAGCAGTACCTATACCATATAGGAAAGGAACAAAATCTGATTACAGTGTGAATCAAAGTGATTACATTTATCTGAACGATACAAACAAGGTAAGTACCAAATAACTCGCAACGTAGATGATATCATATACTATGATCATATAAAATAAAATAAAAATATATTATGAATTTGAATATTAAATATTTTTTTTCATAAATTTCTAGATTCTAGATATATAGTAGAAATAAAAATTTAATGCATGTCAGGTACTTTTAGTTTATTATTACTGATTATTACTTATAACAAAAATTGCTGTAGTATCTTAATTAGTGGCTCGAGTACTGGAAGAATAGACTTTACATCTAGATTATATTATATCATTCAATATAGATGTTATAGTACATGATTCTCTAAACATAGTAATACTTGATAAGTCTTTGCTTGAACTGTGCTATGACTACACTAGGCCCACAACAAATCATATGAGTCGCGGTACATAGCATTTCACTCTAAATTCCAAATTTATGAAATGAAATTCTAGATTCCAAACGCTACAATGTCTTGATTGCAAATGTTATAAAAGGTTATATAAGCCTATTTGTTCTGGAACAACCCAAGTGCATATACGAGTATGTACTCGTATATTATAAAAGCAATTAAGCTCACCCATATTTGCGCACCGCACAGTATGCCAAAACACAAATTAGCCGGTAAGAATTCTATATTTTCTGAACCAGTAGAGATATTGAAATTAAATGAAATGAAATAGCGTTTCTTTTGAATCTAATTTGAGCCCAATCGGCTTATCGGAACTCCTCCAAATTTAGGCTCAAAAATGGTCCATTTTCACATTAATAAATTAGATTCAAAAGAAAGGCCATCTCAAAAACAAAGTTTCAAGAAAATTTCGTTTTAATATTTCCAATAGTTCAGAAAATATAAAATTTGGATCGGCTAATTTCTGTTTGGCATACTATGCGTCGAGAGATAACAAATAAACCTTTTAAATAAATCGCGTTAAATTTACATGATTTCTTTTATCAATAATAATAAGTCAACCAGTTGCTAAAAGATATCTCTAACCCTATCCATATCATACATGTAAATTTTGTAAATCGAAAAAAAAACATGTTCATCATCATTCGCTTAGTTATTCCCATATAGGTATATTCACGATTTTAAAAATTAAGCGTTTCTCGCACTTGGGAAATATATACGTGGTAATGCACACTCCCCCTCTTTATAATTCAAGTTTAATTCAGGTTACAAATATCATATAAATCTAAATATATCTAACTAAAACTCCTTTATTTTATATTTTGTTTGTAGAATGTATATAGCTTGGAGAGACAATTAAATTACACCCAAATTCTACAAATTGTTATAATAATATTATTAATCCTTCTATCCGCATGCTTTGGATTTTTAATGAAGAAACAATTAGATTTTGATCCACAAGGCCAAATTGCTGCAATTATGAAGGCCGAATTGCAAGAGTTTTCCTGTCCACTCAAGAAAAAAATTTAAATCTTATAACATTGTTTGGTGTGATCTAATAAAATTGTTTTAGAATAACTCCAGAAGTGCCATAAATCATTAATAAACATATGTATGGAATTGAAGCGGTTATACGTTGAGAACAGCTAACAAAACTATTTGATCTTAAGTGGCTTGGGGGATTAATATTGACTAAAAACACGTACAACAAAAATTAATACTGCAATTTAGCAGATAAAAAGTGATAGACTACAAATTAAGTTTTAAATTTAGTAATAAAATTAGTTAAATCATATTGAAAACGTGGACCCACTTAAGTTCTCAATATAGATCATGGAATATTCTATATTTATAACATGAGAGACTCCATGTTTTTAATATGGTTTAATTAATTTTCACAATTAAAACAACAAAAATAAAACAATTGATAACAAAAATCAAATACGTCTTTTATTTATATATAAAAACATATATTTCCTAAATTATATATACGTTACACAGAGATGATATCGTGACTTTGTAGCTATCAATACCATTTGTGATGAACTCTATTTAATATTATTTCACTGTTATCAGTGATCAGTTTTCTTTTTGTAAATAAAAAATAAATTACATATATAGAAGATTTCAATAACAAAATCTTAAGCATTGGTTATATACTATGCTATATACAAACGGTTCTAAACAAGATACTACCACTGTAGGTAGAAAACCCTACTCCATGAATGCTATACGTTATCTAGAGTGTGCACTCGTTACAAAGGAGAAAGTTGTTGTGTGATCAGATAGCTTGTCTATAATACAGCCCCTAATATTATCACACAATAATTCTAAGGGCAGTTACTTTTTAATATATTCAATCTTTTACTTTTTTGTCTATTCAGTTTCAAAAATATAGAGGCATTTACTAATTCAACCACCCTTTGAAAAAATTAAAAATTTAATTATGTGTTGCATTCATTACAGTAATTTATATTAATAAGATCTTTTAAAGATATTCCATAATTTTCTTATAATAATATGGGTATTCAGAAATATCTAGGTAACTTGTTTACTCGATAATCGGTAATATTTTTTTAAGAGATGTAAGCTATTAACAAAATTAATAACAAAAATAGTTATAAAATACATATAAACCTTATATCCCTCAATGTATAATGGGATAGCCAGGCGGCCAATAAGTCAATAAGCTTAGTAGTACTCTGATCAAAGGCTGCTCAGAACAACTTAGCGATTTAATAAAATCAATACTGTTTTGAGAGTATAGTTAATATGAATTAACCAGATTCGTGCAATTACCTTTTTTAGATACAAACAGAGTGGCAACCTAAAAATTGTTATTGAAAAATTTTGACGTTCAAAAGAACAATTGGTACTGGACGAATCAAGGTACATATATAGAAATTACTTAATCGTTGAAATCAAGGTATTTACACTTTCCCAAGGAAAGATATATCTAAGGCCATGGTTTGTATTGTAATTGAAATAATTTGAAAAAATATTTTTAGATCAACAATTTGTGTGCACTTTATAAGAGTGTCGCCTTATTGTTAATTTAATTGATTTAAATAATTTTGTTAAAATAATGTTAAAATAGAACATAACTGCATAAAGTTATAAACTTAAATTCTATTGCTACAAAGGTACATAAGGTACATAATGTATCAATTTAACATTATGTACCTTATAAATGAGGATGTGAAGAACTTGTACATAACAAGTATATAATAACGAAATGTATTAAGTAAACTATACGTTATACACCACACAAATTTTTTATTTAAGTAATAGGCTATTAAAGCACCCCGACCTAAAAGATCTATTGTGCGCCTAAAGGCCAACTAGGAAAATTTTAGACTATTTATAAATCTTGTAATTTTTGTGGGCTTAATTTTACCTATTTGACTTATGACTAAGATCCCGGTTCCAAGGTAATCGAGTCTACGTCTTGCCACCGCTGGGCAGTTGCATAGAACATGTTCTGATGTTTCCTTCTCCTCATGACAGAGTCGACAGGAGTGACTTTCTACCACACCTATAATCTTCATGTGGTAATTAAGTCTACAGTGTCCTGCAAGAAGTTCAGTGTGCATTTTAATATCGTTTCTGCTAAGGCCAAGGATAGTATCAACTTTGATGTGATCAGGATTAATGAATCTTTTTGCCTGTCGCATGCCTGTTTGGACTCTCCAGTGTTCAAGTAGATGTTGTTTCTCTCGTTCACATAATAAGCTATTTGTGAAGCTATTTGTTACCCCGCAGAAGGGCTCTGGACCAATGAAAGGAGTACATGCACCCTTCTTTGCTAGGGAGTATGCTATTTTATTGCCCTCATGCCTTTCATGTCCCGGTACCCACATGAAAGTAACATAGTTCCTCAACGCTAGGGTGTTGAAAAGTTGAGAGCATTCCCAGACCAACTTTGATTAAAATAAGGATTTTGCTAAAGATTTTAGAGCTGCTTGGCTATCTGACAGGATGCATATTTTAGTACCTCGGGTGCCTCTTCGTATGCATTCTCTTGCACATAGTTCTAAGGCATGGACCTCGGTCTGAAAAATGGAAGCAGTTTTTCCCACAGCGATTGCTTTGCGGAATTTCGGTCCTATAATCAGTATACCATAATTGAGAGACCTGTTTTAAGTTAATTTCATTGTTTCTTCAGGTTGATCGGTCATTAATGACAACTTCAAATTCCCTGGAGGAAGCTAATTTTCTATTCATCTTGTCAAAGACCTTAAGGCACGGAGAGTTCCAGACTTCATCTAGAATCTTTGCGTGTCCTGTCAGGTTGCCCTCTTTAAGATTACATAGATAAGGAAGCCTTAGTGCGGCACTGGTCGCAGTCCTTTTAACTGTCAACCATACAAAAACCATATACGCTATCATATTAAAAACGTGGACTCACTTATATTCTTTATATTTATCTTGAAATATTTTATAATTATAACATAATTGACTTATGGTTTATTTGGTGAGCACACTGTCAGACTAGGAATACTCTTTATTGAGCACTATAAAAGTAGCGGTGGGACAAAGAAGAAGAAATAATCCAATATATGTTCGGTTATTGCGTATCTCTGTCTAGAAGCAGAGAAAGTTTCTTACGCAGTTATACTTTGAGCTTTAGCTCATTCCGTGGTGATTATTTGGATTTCGAAATGATTCATTAGTCAAAATAGTAAAGATACCGTTTTAGCAATGTTGACACAATGGACCTGTACTTTAGTCAACTAGATGGGCTGCAACAACAACGTAACCTAACTTTACCTTTTATACACACTGGTAGATCAAATAATTTGTGCAAAATTGTTTAAAATAAAAATAAGATGTTTAATAAAATATTTTATAAAATTAATTAAATTTAATTTTTAATTTGTATTATATTTTTAATTTCTTACCATAAATACGCAACCTATAGCCACTATATATAAATAAATATATATAAATGAATATATATAAATATATATATATATTTATAAATTTTATGTAATCATGACTTTCTGTTTACCATGAGCCTAAAGAATATCATTTTATAATAGAATTATCTATTTAACACAGATGTATACACTTTAAATGTCAAGTTAATATAATAGTATTAAGCTTACTAAATAAAAATTCAGATCCAATGAATGAAATTTATTGTACGAATTTGGAACTCAATATTCTTCGTTTTTCAAAATTGGTTAAAAAAAAAATTTTGAAAAATGTCCTCTATTAAACAATTTCAATAAGTCTGCTGTGTGAAATTAACTCCTTAACATGGGTAAAAACCTAGTTGTCAGTCCTAATGATGTACTTAAATTCATAAGATCTTCAGAAACTCCAAGTACATTAAAGCTTCAAAATACCAGTAATGACCCGATTACATTTAAAGTAAATTTGTTTCAGCATTTTTATTTATAATATATAAAAGTATTAATTGTTTAATTTTAATTATAGATTCAAACCACATCACCACAGAAGTTTCGTGTTCGACCACGTTTTGGTGTTTTGAAACGAGGCGAGTCGACAACAATCAATATTTTACTGAAAAAGGATGAAAACCTCAAAGATGGCTCCGTAAAAGATAAATTTCTTGTTAGAGCATTAAAAATCCCACCAAATGTTGATCAATGTGGATCTATGATAACTTTTTGGAAGCAAATTCCTGCTAACTGTTCAAGTGTTGAGGAACATCAAGTCATATGTGAATACGATGATTCCAGTAGTAGATCAAATAAAGCATTGAATAAACAACCATCGAAACCAGGTTTAAATAAACAGAGATCAAAGCTTGGAAAAGGACTTACTAAATCTATCAGTTTTATTAAAGTAAGTCTCAAATCAATTGAAATACACGATACAATCATTATATTAAAAATATATTGATTTGAATATTTTTCTATAACCTTATTAGAAAGTTTTATTTAAAGACATACTTTCTATTGTTCACTTTATTTTCTGACTTATATATCCACAACAATAAAAAATTTGATTAAGGACTTATCTTTCTTCATATGAAAGTCCACACCTATGAGTAACTGACACCAAACCAATTTTTCAATGCATATACCATATATATATATTTGTTGCTCACAATTCCAAGAAAATCTCTCCACCACTTGCGTCATAATAATATTGTACATCCAAGTTTTGAGTATAGATATTGTATGTAAAAAATACCTCAGAATGTAACTCTTAAATAAATTACTAATTACTAACCCCAGAAAGCTTACGCGTTAAGGCAATTCCTTTCAAGATTGAATCATTTTAAGAACTTTGTGTTAATTGGAATTTTTTTAGATAACAGATTATGAATATATGGCTATAAATGAACCAGACGGCGACAATATAAATCAAGCAATTGCTGGTATGACTGGAAGTCGTTCAGGTAAAATTAGTAGTAACCAAAAATCTTGATATAAAATTAAAAGCGCTAACTATATTTTTGATAATTGTTCAGGTCAAAGTCCTGGAAATAATTTAAGGGGTGGTGACAGTTATTTGAGTAAAGGTCAAAGCTCTGGAAATGTGAAACAAAATAAGATGGAAAGACAATTATGGCGCACACAAGTTACACAATATATCACGATATTCTTGCTATTTATACTTGCTGTAGGCTTTGGATATTTAGTGAGAAAGCAAATTGAATTCGATCCCAAAGCACAAATCGAAGAAGCATTAAGAGCCGAAGAAGCATTAAGAGGTGAAGATAATTATAAATGTCGAAAATGTTAACGACTTCTACTATTTGATTCTTATGGTAATACTTTATATTCATTATTAAGATAAATTAGTGTGAAAAACTGTTTTAGGTATATAAAGTTATCGTTTAATTATTGTAAAAAAAATTAAATAAATAAAATACGCATTAATCCATATAATAAAAATAATTCATTTATAAGCTAATGTTTTAATGTATTTTTTATGTGTCTATCGGCAATAATTTCAGAAGACTACATAATCGTAGTGACAGTAAAAAAACGTTAATGACGATTTATTGAAAAAACAAGAAATGTTGCATATTAATTAGCCTACTTAATTTTATTTATATCATTTATAAAGGAAACCCCTGTGTAACATAGTGATTGAGCTCCAGGCAGCTCAAGCACAATTTAGGTAAGGTTAGGGAGTCCATTTAGGCCTATAGGCACATTGTGCTACCGTATTTTTAAAAACCTAGAACCTTTGGCAAAGCTTATGAAGTACAATCTGTTAAGTGCTCTACAATATAATATTAAAGTAAACAAATAAAAAACAGCTAAAGTTACAAACAAAAAAATTCATTAAATACTTTTGTAGAATATATATGTGTTATGTAGTAGTTTCGGTTAGAACAGGTCTCTGCGTAAGTCCACTGCTACTTCATTAATTACTATTACCACTACCTGATAAACAATACAGCAGTCAGAAATAGAGACAGATAATTCCAAATCTAAATCGTTCGAGAAGACCCGAAAGCCGATTCTTTCATCATTCTTTTGACGCTATCTGTGTCGAAGGTAAGTTTTCTTTTTGGTGGCATGAATATTTTCTACTCACTTCTCAAGTTTTGAGATTCATGTTTTGAAACGCCTCTAATAATGTTGGAATCCTACCAAATTCAATACAAGTAGGTGAAGGAACAACTCCAGTGACTTCTCGGACTAGTTCTTAACGCACAGGCAATGCAAATAAGATTTGTTTTTGAACGTTAATCAGACTTCAAATAAATGAATTTCTAAATGGATAGTTATTATACTATTATACCATATAACTTACTCCAACTACCGAAATATAGAATCATTGTATAATTTATGGAATTAGGTTTCAACAATCGCAATCAATATTAAGGTTCCAGCTGACTCTCCTGTCTAATTACTCAAAAAAAGAATTAATTTAGTTTTTCCGAAGTAAATTTATTGGCGCCTCATTCTATCCAACTTTAAAGATTTGCCATTTCCTCTTCTTATATTGCCAAATCTTAAGCGTATGCAATGACCTGGAAACCCTCCTTACTATGGCCAGAAATATATTATTTATTACTAAAGTCAATAGTACCTAGGAAGAAGAGAACACTTCATTGTGGAATATTTCTGCAATACTGTTTGTTTAAGGTGCAATTTACAAACTTGCAAATCCCTACAAGATGTTATGAGCGTTCACATCTCAAGAAACAATATTTTTTAGACAGCTCTTACTCTTCTTACGAACATAAAAAACTCGTGCGGTGAATAATCTTTGTCATAAGTGTAGTACTTCAACTTAACACATGCACCATAAAGTAATTTTTTTTAATATACCATGAGACTTACCTCTATAATCAATTTTACACCCTTCATCCTCATGTAGCTCTTGGATGAGAACTACATGAAAGCTGCTCAAAAATCTTATGGATATAAATTTAGAATGGTAAAGGTTTATCTAGAACAATAAGAATACATCTGTGTAGCTTCTACCATTGACACTTATTATCCTTCTTTCCACTAGTGTTATCAGTAAGAACATCTTCTTCACTATACAGCTATCCTACGTAAGTTAACTGCACTGATTTAGTAAAAACCGCTGTGCAAAACATGTTTGTCACTTTCTATTTCTGCTAGATATGCGGCTGCATTCAGTAAACCAAGAAATTCAACATTAAGAATCAGCATTTCTTTCTACTGGACCGCTCTTCAATTCTTAGATTTGCCAGTTCTGATGCTAACCATACGAATTATTAGTCTGCTAAGAATATCCTCATTGTTTGCTACTTTATTTGACCAAAAGATCTTACTGATCTGAGGTATACCATACGCCCAAGGTATTGAATTGAGTTGGGTGCTATGCTGCCTCCTGTACGTTAGTTCATGAAGCAGGTTTCTCTTTTTGTACTAAGTTTAAATTTGGTTTCATTATGTGGGGTCTATGTACCCTTTTCAATTTTAATTTTATTGTGAGATACTACTATCCCTTACTACTGGTACAGCGCCGCCTTAACACTTTTAGAGCTTTCTTTTTTGAGAATCATGGCGAGCTTCAGTACCTCCTTTTGAATAGCATCATAAGCATTGCCAAAGGTTCTAGATGATTTTAACCCTTAGGTTTTAAATACTACGTTAGCACAATGGGCCTATAGACCTAAATGAATCCCCTTTGGGATCGCTGCTATTACCTAACCTAAACTAAGGAAGTTGATATCACTGTAGAAATTCAAGAATTGATGACATATATTTGCTAAATTAATCACTATATACCGCTTCCTGGAACTATTGTCGTCCTCCTTAGCAGTAAACATATGCTTAAGATCAGTAACATCTGAGAGCTCTATGATTTTCATATCTACATTATAAAGGTGTTTCGTTTCTATGTGCTGACTTCTTGGCCTATTGCGTGAAGTCTTTTCAATATAAATTTTTCGGAAACAGTCTTATATAATAAACAAACCGAACATCTAATTAAATTACTTTAGTAGGTACTGTTTAGAATTCTTGTTATATTCATTTAAAATTCAAAGGCAATGGACAACACAGATAGATTGCAATTAAATGTCAATATCAAATTTCAAAAATTATATCATGATTTTAAGCTTCAATATTCAATATTTTTTGGTTTATATCTAAATTCAATCCGCAAATTTAATCCTAATCAACAAAATTTAAAAGTTTAAATAATTCTTTTTAATGAAATTTTTTTCCCCCTAAAATGTTACGTATATCACCAAAAGATGTACTTACCTTCTCCGATAAGAATGACACTGTTCTTAACGTAGCTAATGAAACTAACTCTGCAGTTGTATATAAGGTATAATAAATGAAAGTGAACGGTACATGTTTATATAAACTATATATAATATTTATAATCGCAGATCCAAACAACATCACCAGATAAATTTCGTGTTCGACCACGCTGTGGTGTTTTGCAGCCAGGAGAATCGTTGGATTCTAGTATATTAATAAAAGCTACATGTACACTGCAACAGGATTTTTCAAAGGATAAATTTCGTGTTATTTCATTACAAATCACACCGTGTGAGGCCAAAGGAGACACTGCAGCATTATACAAAAACCTTACAGTCGATAACCCGAATATAAAAGAACATCGTTTACGCAGCGCTCCTGCGTGCGCGGCGGAACCCACAGAATGTATGTTGAATAAGCAAAAATCCATGGAATCTCCTTGCATGGGTAATGCAATAAATGATGGTAATGATACAGAAGTAAGTATAAAAATATTTTAACATACATACTTTTGTTGACCTGATTTGACACGGCCAGACCTCTTCTAAAAATCTACATGGAATGTTAAAAAGTGCTTGTTTAAGAGTGTTATGTATTAGACATAACAGAAATATCTTTTAAACCTTCTCTTTTAACAATTATCACAATAACTGTATATAAAAAAATATGAGGTTATCAAGATAACGCTTTAGGATTTTATATCGGAAAGAAAATAAACGTCATATTTTTCAATATTATTCTCACTGGTATAAACGAAAAGGTTCAAGGTAAATATAAATTTTTAAAGACAGGTATTTATAGTACAGCCATTACTTTAAGCCATTGGCAACTATATTGATATGACAGATCCTTTACTGTTGTACTCCCAAAATTTTTTGACATATGTACGATTAAAAGTAGAGTTATTACAGTAGTTGGTTAACGACAAATAATTACACTTATCGACCAACACCTGTTACTGACTTTTTAACAAAAAAATCGCATATTAACTGTCAACCACTCCCTGTATTCACGTGACATTTTCATTTTTCAAAAGAATATTCTATTTACGATAAAAGAAAAGAAATCTGTAAACATATTTTAGTAGCAATCCTAATGATTTACCGGCATCCCTAAGGACTACCTTCTTAGAAACAATAACTCCGCTCATTTAAATATATTGAAATTTTGACAATATTTCAGTGAGTACACACCTATTTTTAAAAGATTCACTTAACTTTAGAAAATACCATGTACTGTTAGAAATAAGTATGTGTTTTAAATATCGCTACAATTACGTTTATAGGTATTTTTCATAAAGTGGTTTTATTGAAGTACAAATTTCGATTTTTTATTTTAATAATTTTTTTTTAAAGCGTTGTTCCAGTACTTAAAATATTAATAAAATATTAATGACTTTTTATTAATATTTTCAATCCGAAAGAAATATTTTGATATCTCTTCAATATATGCATATATTATGTTAAGGCTAGTTGAGTCAGTGCACTTGAGTACTTTTACCCTCTATTAACTGCGAGATTTCTTCATAATCCCTCTCTATGCCTTGACTGGATTATTGTTTATCACTTCTTCAGACTAAGCAAAAACTGACCTCAAATTTGCATACCTTCGCGAAGAGCCTGTAACCATTCTGAGATTCGATAACGCGATGTTGGTAAGCCTGTCAGTTTTCGTAACTAATTTCACACCTCTATCCTTTATGTACTTTTTGATCGGATCAAACTTGAGGTCCCTGTGGATGTCATTCGTCATTATGTACCATGTACCTTGAAACGTCGTCTCAGAGTCTGGCCTTGTGCAATTTTTAGCTGGCGAATGGTAATGTTTGAGGCCTTGCTAAACTCTACACATCCAGATAGCAATGACGGTCGAATTGTTTGGTTATATAACAGCTTCCTGTTCTGAGCATTGAGATTTTGTCCACCGTGATGCCTAGATATTTAACGCTACCAAGTTTATAACCATATCTCCCACTCTCACTCTCGACGGATTCTGTCTCCACTTACGCGTAATAAGCAGAGGCTTAGTTTTTTCATTATTGATTTTTATTTTCCATTTCTGGAAATACTCCAGGATGAGGTATATATGCTCTTGAAGTGTGTTGGTTATGTTGAGAGCACATTTATCCGTGGTTATGTTGTAGCATACACGTATCGTATTTCTATACTTTTAAGTGCTGATGTTTCAAATTATACATACTTTTATTATTTAAATTGATAATGATACATGTAATTTGATAAAGTATAATATTAAATAAAAACCTATTTATTAGGGTTCTCAGGACTCAGGTGAACACCATGGTAAAAGGAATAAGCCACAACGCAAGACAGAAAAACTACAATACTTCACGATAACCTTAATAGTATTTCTTTCCATGGCCTTTGCGTTTATGTTTTGGAAACAATCACAATTCAATGATAAAATACAAACTCAAATTGAAGAGGCTTTGAAAAATAGTATGGCAAGTAATACAGACGAACAAAATTAAGATTACTGCCTATATACAAAATCGGGGACACTGTGAACTCTATGTGGCGAGTACCATATATTTTTTATGTTGATATAATAGTATTTGTGTATTATCTCCTACAGAAAAAATTTAAATTACAGTTTTTTTGTGTTTTTCATATAAAAATAAATTTTCGAAATTGAACGTTAATATTAATTACCAGTAAAACAATTAAATTTAATTATTTATCACATATAACACAATAAAATAAATAATGTCTTATCATTCAATTGAAGTCCATTGTTTTTATTGTTAAGACATCGCCTCCACATCTTGGTAAAGCTTTAAAAACGCAATTGTAATTGAGTATCCCGAACACTGTCCTTTATGACTCATCCAAAATCACTCGCATCGACGTGTACGTCCTCTCACTCGCTCGAAGGTACCTTACCCGACTACACAATCTACACTCTGACATATCCGCCCCAGCACTCTTCCCGCAGACTTCGACCAAGCCTTGCGCCATAAACGCCTTCTGTATCTCCCTCTTTACCTCGATAAGCGGAACTCTCATCCCTCCATTATCCCTCTCTACAACCGCGGTTCTCATGAATCTGATCATAACGTCTACCGCTAGCCTATAATCCAACCCCCTTCACCAATTTCCAGTCTACCTTTTTCATGGTCATGCTTTCTAGCTTAGACATGCTAGGTATTAAACCTCTTGCTCTCATCTCTATCCTATCATTACTAGAATGAAGTTTCCATATTACTGTGCAAATTTTCTCCATTCATTCCTAAGAGGTAGTTTCAGTGAGTTTAAGTCTCACATTGCGGCTTCTAATACATTCCACTTACTTTAAATAAAAAAAAAAATAAGTTTCCCGAACAAAGCGATCCGGAAGAAAGTCCCTAGATTATTAAAGCATTATATACTTGTGCTGCAAATATTAAATGGATTAACTTGTTTGATGTTCGAACCGAGCACTTTGATGTTTGACTATGTCTCTGCTTGAACACCAAGCTTCTCGATAAAGTTCCAAAAGCAGTCTGGTGTACGTCCGGAAGCCACATGTCGAGTTCGACGACTAAACGCCGTTTAACACTTCCAAAAGGGACTACACAAGCAAAACTGTTCGAGCAACACTACACCTGGCTAGTGACTAACTTTGACAACGCAAATATGTATTATTTTCTAAATTTGTATGAGTTAGTGAAAAAGTAATAGTGTATGCAAAAATCTTACCGAAGTCCAGGCAGTGTAAACACTGCTTAAAGCAGATTACTGTGAGTATTTGTTTAAAGATTTTCGAACTTTAAAACGCTTCGATCTAAATGTTTTTTGGATTGAATATACTCGAATTTCTCAAATATTGTACTGAACAAACATTTTTTATTATGTTTGATTAAAGATCGATCACCTAACTTATTGTTGTTTTTAATGTAAGTTAAACCTTTAAAAAAACCTGCGTTGTCCTGGCAATTCTTAAAAGTTTACAAATATGTGAAGTATCAACTCTTGCAGCTTCTGTGTATAGCCAGGAGCGTGCATATCTTTACCCACAAACACTCATTTCTCAGGACAACTCATATCATTATTGAAATTTTATCGTTCTCAGCAAACATTTGGCTTCGTATTTTTTTTTGTTTGTAATTAAGAGTATTCAAATGTCACCGTGATAATTTTTATTCTTTATTTATTTTTCAAAAAAATTAAATATAATTTTATATATTAAATTAAATTAAATTCTATTAAATCTCACTGAAATATTGAAAGTTGTGACTAATATATTGTAGTAAGTCCATAGGCCAGTCGAGTTAAAGTTGTACCGCATGCTATAAATCCGTGTCATCCATTTATCCCTGTTAACTTTCCAAATGTGTTAATATTGTATATTGTATGAGAAGTCCATCTACGCGGTAGAAATTAGCGAATTTTATACTACAATTTTATTATTTAGATTTTAAGTAACAATTTTAAAAAGAGACAGTCACAAATATGCAAACAATAATTTTTTTATTGTGAAATTTGGATTCTCTCCTCTGGTCATTCATAAACACCTTATCACTACATTAACATCAATTACAATCTATTTCTTTTTACGTCCTCGCTTTGCAGTAGCATCTATTTCCGTTGCAACATTATTTACTTCTTTTTTATCATCATTTTTTCCATTTACTATTTTATTTGTAATTTTTTCCTTCTCTGTAGTTGCTGTTGTTGCTGTGGCTGTTGTTTTTCCCTTGATGCTATTATTATTATCAGTTACCAAGAAAATGCTATGCTGTCCACCACCAGAAGCTTTAAGAATTCTTTTATTTTCAGTATTTTTACTAATTATTAGTTCTGGTTCCCAAACATCATCCTCGTTGCCAGTGCCTAATGATAAATTCGTACCCATTCCCCATGAATACAATTTACCCTCATCAGTCACTGCAAATGAAAAACATTCGCCACATGAAATACTTTGTATTTTTTCATTTTGAAGCTTATCAATAGCTTGAAGTTCTCGTTGATCTGAAACATTTTTACCAATTCCAAGACGTCCATAATCACCTCTTCCAACAGCATAACATTTACCATCGTTTTTAAGTACTAATGTATGATGTTGGCCGCCAGCTATATCTTTGGCATTTTCTAAATTTGTTCTGACTGGGTATAACACTCTTTCTTCCACGTTATTATAAATAAGTTGAACATAATTATTTAATCCAAATACCCAAATACTGTTAGTATTAGATTCGCGTAAATATGTGCAATAGCTGGAAGCCCAGATTTTTTCCACAGGTTTTCCACGCTTCATAATAATTTCTCCAGGTGTTAATAGAATTTTTTTGCCTTGGCGTCCTATAAAATAAAACTTTAGAATGTGTAATTATATATACATATTTAAGATTTCATACCTTCACCAGAAACTGAACGATTTGGTACGCGTCCAAGTTGTCCTTGTTCAGCGCATCCAAAAGTGTAAACTTTACCTCTACTAGTTAAAACAACTAAATGATCAGACCCCGAAGCTATTTCAGTACAATTTGTTAATCCCATTACATCGACGGGTAATTTCTGAATTCCATCAACTGTTAAGCCCATACTTCCGTGAGAATCACGAAAGCTTCCCCACGCAAAAACTCGTCCATCATCCAATAAACACGCAGAATGGGAATCACCTGCCGAAATCATAAGTGCTTTAGTGGGTAGTTTAACTAGATCAGGCTCAAAAGCATCATCTTCGTCTGCAGTCGGACGACCAAGAGCACCTTCATCATTGCAACCGAATGAATATACCGCACCGTCAGCAGTTAATATTAAATTGTGCATGCCACCAGCACAAATATCGACAACATTTGGTACTTTTTCCAACATAGCAGGTCGTTTACGTTCACAGACATCTACGCCAAGTCCCAATTGACCCATTTCGCCAGCACCACATACTAGGGCGTATCCACCAATGCTTGGACGATTAGGCATAGACAATTCAAAATTTGGTCGTACTTTTTTTACTGTAGCCGTAATCACTACATCATTTGTAGGAACTTTCCGTTTTGTCGGCATGATTATAATAGTTTTTTTGTTTGCTGCAGATCAGAAATTGTAGTCTCACTGAATGTTAGGTTAGAATTACTAGCTATGTCTTATGTCTTTTTCTTGCTAATTTATTTTACTTTTTATCGACCGCACACACCGAGATCAAAAACTTAAATATTCTATATATAATTTATATATATTAATAAAATGTATGATCAGTCAATATTGTCTGTCTGCGCGGGAAAAGACCGGTGTACACATTTATAAACGAAAAAATGCGCTCATACTTAAACAGCTGATGAGCTTGAGGTTGCCAGATTTTGAAAAACAATGTATATGGTGTTTACGGTAGGTCTGTTTTAATTTACTACAAATTTAATATCGACTTTTAATATTTTATTTTATAATTAAATATTTTTGATAGTATAATATATATAAAATAGTATTTATTGAATTTATAAATTTCATATCATAGGTACGTTTAAGTTGGCATTGAGTTATTGCAATAAATGGAAATTCTGTAATTTTTTTTAAGAAGTGTTCATGTCAACCGTTTTAAGTTGATTGTAATATATACTTATAAAATGTCAAATTTTTTTCCTAGCAATAATTAATATAAAAATTTGATATGCCGAAAATTAAATTTGATAAGAAATTATATTCATAAGTTTAAATTTCACAATTTAAGCTTCAACAATTTGCGGTATTGTAAATGATTTTCATGAACTAAAATACATCATAAAAAAATATTATTGCGAAACACTCAATATTTTTATATATAGAAACATTTTATTAACTTGTGATGTGTGAATAAACCATAGCTAACAACAGTATATGTATATTAAAAACAATTTTTATAAATAATTAGTTCTGTTTAGTAATCTTATAAATTCCGAATTCCTTAAGTCAAACAAATGGTTGGGAAAATTGGTTCTGTTTGAATATATTGTTAGCTATAAATAAAACCTGGCTTAATAATAACTACCATATATAATTTAAAAAAAATTTTTTAAATTGGGAATTATGTTGGTAATATTTTTTTTTTTAAATCTCATTAGTTATTTTTTTCAAAACACACCAAGACAGTGTAGTATTTACTTAATCAATATTTACTTAAAAATACATTATATTTTATAATTATATTATAAACTTTAACTGCAAAGAATTCATTTTTATTCTAATATATGGTTTCATTTTACATTTTCGATTTTGTACAATCGTCTACGCAGACCGTAAATGTCTTATTAAAGCAAAAATAAGCAATTGAGAAACAAATGTTCGCTTTCGACATACAAAACCACATTCCCATTTCATAGACAAACATTTCGAACAAATGTGTTGAATGCTAATGAATACACTGAACATACCTGCACCTTTTTTAGTTATATGACAATTTTAAGAAAGCCCTTTGACATTATTTTGTATTATTTTTGACAAACACAAAAGAAAACGTTAACAATTTAATATAGCTTCCTATTTTTTTACTGGCGACATTTTTCTTACAAAAATACTCACAAGAGTTATCAATTTTTTCTATAATATAATTGTTAAGCCATAATTATTTCTTTAGTTCCAGAATTTATTTTCAGCAAACAACAACCAAAAGATATGTACTTTTATAAATCAACTGCCGAGTGAAATGAAAAAAAAGATATGCTTAACAAAACTTGGACGCTTTAACGTTATAACTATTTAGCACATATATTAATTTAATGAAATTCTTAAAATATATCAGAAAAAGCTTACATATAAGATTTCTTAAGTAAAATTTGAAATATGGATGTATAATATAATAATATAAGTTTATATATATAAATAATTTTCTTTTTGTTTATTTTATTTAAATTGCACCTAGTCTACTTAAACTAATTAGCAATATTGATATGACGGGAACTTAATATATATATGAAAATATAAATTTATAATACCATAATTATGAAATATGTATTGTATAATATGAAATAATAGTTCGTTCTCACAAAATCTCTTTGCTTAGTAAATAATTTTGAAATAACGCAAAACAATAAAATTAATCCAACTTTTGACTAGAATCATACTGCAGTAGATACGCCAATCGACAAGGACCGAGATGTTGGCATCACTGTTGCAATTTGTCAAGTGTTGTGTTTTGACAAATAAAACACATTACACTTTGTATAAAAATAAATAATTCATATAAATTGAAAAGTAAAATGAATACAGAATTTAATGGAATGGTAAGAATGTGTGAAATTTCAAAACACTGAAATTTTACTTTTTTCCCAATTTTTGAATTTTGCTTAAAATTTTGTTTACATATGATTTTTACATATGATTCACATATTGCGTTGGTAACACTTTTTTCTTTATGGCCGAAATGTTTTTTCAGTAAACAACTACTGGCTTAGAAAGAGAAAAAAGTATTGTTTTGCGTACATATCAGATAGTATATGCCAGTAATTTATAGTTTTTTGTCAAACTTGCGAGCCACCGAAAACGCCTAAAATTATCTACCATTCAGATATGTTTGGTAGCTAAGTGAACAGATTATATATATATGTATATATAAGTTGTCGATTTTGTAGTAGAACACCAATGAAATTTTAAATGCGTGATAAATAAAAACCAATAAATATATGTAAAAATGTGTATATAGGAATATGCTAAACTTAATTTGAATTATACTTTTTGGCAGCATTTTTACCTTGCATATAAAATAAAAATAATAAAATCAAAAATCAGTGTTTTTCACAATTCAATTTGGATTTTTATTGAGAAAAATAAGCGGTCTGTGACGCGTTTACTGAATTACCGTACGTATTTACCCTTGCAATCACCATTGCAATGTATAATATTTAATGGCTACAAAAAATGACACTAAACTTAAATATCTGGCAGCTTAGTGTTTTTTGATGTTTTGCCGTCAATACAAGCTGTTATCGATAACAAAATAAGTGCTCCATCTTGCATTAAAAACGTTTAACATATGAGGAAGTACTCTGACGGCAATTGAAAAAATTAAATTTGTTTAAATTATTTTATTACTTTTAACTTATTTGTTTTAATCTATCAATATTATTAAATACAATTTGGCACAGTATAAGGCGTAAGTATTATTATTTTTAAATGTTTGATTATGTATAAAACTCTTAGTGCTGAGAAATCGATAGCAGCGCCGTCGCTGTCGGGCTCTATTGACCGCAGAGTGTCGCTGGCACGAAAATAAAAAAAATGTTTGTTTTTAATAACAAAATTTCTAAAGAAATCAAAATTGTTTTCAAAATTAAAGAAAAAAGTGATTGTATATTGTGATAACTTTACTGCCAATTCTTAATATGCATACATATTTCTTACGCAAATTATTAAATGTTCAATATAAAAAGATGCGACAAAAGTCGCACAAATATTGTAATCAAATAACCATTTCGTTAATGTATTTTATTAATAAAAGAGTTATTAGTTTTTTAATATTTTTGTTGTCTTTTAAAACAGAAAGTGTGTTTTGTTTGGTTATTGATAATATCTGTCTTGACAACCAAACGATAAAATGTCTGCTAAAAATGTAGGCAATCACGATCTGCAAACTTATTTGGATGCTTTCAATGAAGAGATAGAGGAAGGCGACCAGACTGTCGTAACACTCAACTCTGAAACCATTGCAGCGCTAGGATGTGGAGATCAAACAGCACAAAGTCTTTTTAGTGAAGGAAATAATGCAAATGTTAAAGACATTTCTATTGGCGTAGACGGGGAATTGTTTTATGTGAATGAGACAGAAAATTCACCAAAAAACGATACAGTTGAGCTGGAAATACAAAATAACAATGTAAAAGGAAAGGTCTTGAGACATAAATCGAAAAGAAATGTTAGAAAAGGTAGTATATACATTATATTACAGAAGTCGAATCGAATATATTAAACTCTCTTAACTTTTTTCCCTAGAAGTTGTGTTAGCTCCCGCAGAGGAAGATCAAGACGCTCAAATAGAATATGTTGTCATTATCGAAGGTGAAAACCAGGGTGATGGTGAGGGTGATGACTTAGAAATAAAACCTAATGTTAAAGAAATATATGAATTTGATGAAACTGAATCAGTTCCCGAAAATGATAAAAGTGTTGGCATTGCTGCTAGAGAAGGGCGTCTGAAGCAAAACGCAAATAGTAGTGGTGAATTATTTAAATGTGGTTATTGTAGTTATGCTGCTCCAAAAAGATATATACTTTCACGTCATTTAGCATCACACTCTGACTATCGACCATACAAGTGTTCTGTGTGTGAGCGTGGCTTTAAAAAAAATGCTGCTTTGCATAACCATATGAATGTGCATTTAGGAAAGAAACCGCATCAATGTAAATCTTGTGAAATGGCTTTTACCACATCTGGTGAATTATTGCGACACGTGCGTTACCGTCACACCAAGGAAAAACCTCACAAATGCACCGAATGTGATTATTGTAGTGTTGAAGTAAGTAAACTTACACGTCATATGCGTTGTCATACTGGCGAAAGACCTTACCAATGTCCACACTGTACATATGCATCCCCTGATACTTTTAAACTTAAACGACATTTAAGAACACATACAGGAGAAAAACCATATGAATGCAAAATCTGTCATGCTCGTTTCACGCAATCGAATTCTCTTAAATCGCATTTGCTAATACATAGTGTTGGCGATAAACCTATTTTTCAATGTGAATTATGTCCAACTACTTGCGGACGTAAGACTGATTTACGTCTGCATATGAAAAAGCTCCATCACTCTGATAAACCAATAAAATGTAAAAGATGTGGCAAAGATCTTCCTGACCGTTATTCTTACAAACAACATATAAAATCACATGAAGGGGAAAAGTGCTTTATGTAAGTAAATTATTTAAAAGTATTAATATATGTATACATAAATAATCAATTTGTACATTACAATTAGTTGTCAATATTGCCCATATCGTTCTGTAACCATGAAACAGTTGAATACACATATGCTTATACACACAGATGAAAAGCCTTTCAGTTGTGATCAATGTACCACTAAATTTCGAAGTCGCGAATTGCTCTTACGGCATACGAACATTTATCATACAACAGATTACAAACCGCCACCACCACGTGCAAAAAATCACACCTGTCCAACGTGCCAAAAGAAGTTTACACATAAGGGTAATTTAATGCGTCACATGGAAACGCATGATCCCGATCCAGATTTACAAAAAGAAAAGCTTAAAATTAAAATTGGACGCATGACACGAGTTCATCCGGACGGTTCTATTATTACCTTGGCACCAGATTATGCGAATGAAAATATTGGTGAAAATGATGATGCTGAGGACGACGATTTTTATGAACTTGAAGATGATGAAGGTGTTGATAATGAAAGTAGAATTGAATATGTTGAAACAATTGATGAAGATTTTGAGGAGAAACCTTTTGCAAACGTTACTGATAATGATGTTGATTATAATGAAAGTACAATTTCAATTAAAAATGAACCACATCAAACTGAAGGTTATTTAACATTAGAAGAAGTAGCAGAAAATGGAGAGCAATTTGTTGTTGTTGAAGTAATACAATGCGATGACGAAGAATTGGATGAAGATGAAAATACTTTAACACTTAATAATGTCATTAAAATAGAAGGTTTGTTATTCTTTTTATTTATTTAAAGTAATTGAAATATACCATATTAATATGTTGTTTTAATAGATAAAAGTGCTGAAGTTGTAAACGATGGTAATTGTTTTGGATTTGAGGTAATTATAAATAAAATGTTTTTTATAATAAGGCCGTGTGCGAGTCGATTAAATTGACTGAGTAAATTACATTAAAAACATTAAAAATACATAAATATTAATTTATTGCACTTATTTATTATTTTTGGTTAAAAGTTTTCAAATTTATTTATTATTATTTATACCTAATTTTTATCTAATTTACCCTACTTGAAATTCTGGTAAATACCAACATTCGCTGCCATACCGATATAATTAACTATTTCTCTCAAATTGATGGTAATCAATTTACTCGAACTCGCACGCGGCCTATATATATATTTTTATATTTTATTTATATATTCATTTTTTTTACTATATAAACAGGAGGATATTGCGGAATTAATTGAGGAAAAGGGTACCAGGAGAAAGCGAAAATTTATCATAACCGAAAACTAGTCATTTCATCTAACATATGTTAATAAATTTTTTTATTTTTAAATTTGTTTTAATTAAAATTAAATGTATTATATATTTGAAGTTTATATTTGTTCGTTTTATTTTAACTAGCAACATAAAATTTTTTAAGTAGTTTTGCCATAAAATAATTTATTATTTGTAATATATTATTTAAAAATACTTCAAAAATTAATACAATTATTATTAATTTTAATTTAAGAATTGTAGTTTTAAGAAAAAGTATGTGTAATTACTAACATTTTTTTAATGTTTATGCAATTAAAGATAAAGTTACATAAAATTAAGTTCAATAAATTTTTTTTTAATTATATAGTTGTTGTAAATCAAGAAACAATAACTAAAGTTTTTTATTTTATAAAAATTCGCGTTAATGTTGTAATTTGTAAATTTGTGTATATCAGGAAACATGGAAGAAATTAAAAATACAAAAAAAATATGCAGTAGAAGCAAATTAGAACACTTCAGCAAGAATCAGACAGTCAAGTCCTTGAGTTCAGTCCTGTTTACAACTAGGACGGCTTTTGATACATCCCTAAATGAAATCTTGACGCAGCTCAATATTTCTCTAATTTGGGTTCACGGCTATAGGGATATTTTCGAAATTACAGAGCAGAAAGGGTGATTCAGGATTTCGCTCGGAACACCTAAATAATCTGGGCATATCGCTAACATCATGAAAATTGCTTCTGAGTCCTTCCCATTTGAAATTTTTAATAAAAGATGGGAAGACTAAGATATGCAGGCATCTGTATGTAATCAGGCCATGTTCTAATAAAATCAAATCCAAAATTCTCATTGAAATACCCTGTAGAAACATCAGTCTTTTAGTAGGTTTACTTACAGGCCACTGTTAATTAGGAAACCATGCTAGAAGATTAGATATCCCTTTCGATCAAATCTGTCGCAGCTGTGGGGAAGACGATAAGAGTGCCTCTCATCTACTATGTTTTTTCCCAGCTCATGCGAGGCGGCGACTCAATACTTTAGAAGTCCCCTTCCTTGAGAATTTTGACCACTTACAGGACATGACACTAAATGGCATTTTAGGTTTCGTCAAAAGTCCTAGGTAGTTTTAAACCCTGAGTTGTTCATATATACACGGTAAAACAATGAGCCTATAGGCCTAAGTGGATCCACTAGGTATCGCCGGTATAACATAACTTAACCTAAGCATTATTGTATAAAATATTGAGTTATGTTCAAACCAAAAGTTAAAATTAGAACCAAAAGTTCTAAATTACGAAGAAGTTTATTTTCATAAAAATTCCCAAAAAAGGAGATTCATCAGATTGTAACAATTATAGAGGCATCACCTTGCTTCGTACCCCAAGCAAAATTCGTACAATGTAGAGAAAATCTTACGGAAGCAACAGTTTAGTTTACGACAGATAGTGCTTGCATTTGTCTTATTAATACCGTCCGCATTTTAGTATAACACAATGCTGTAAATACCCAACTTCAGTAAACCTGTTGCTTATTAACTTTGATAGCCTTAAAGCCATGAACGACTGTAAAGTAGGTCACGGCTGTGCATTTTCGCCAGCTCCTTCTCATACTGACATTAGACGAAATTATAAGAAATACTACAGATAACAGACAAGGCATTCAGTAGTGTTCGTTTGAATAATTAGAAGAGTTGGAATACGCAGACGTTCTATATCTCTTAATGCATCGACGATCCTATCTCCAACATAAACTTGAAACATTAAACACGAATGCAAATAAAGCTGGACTAAGCATCAACGTCGCGAAAACCAAACTTTTGTAAAGTGGCTATAGCAGAGAAATCTTTTCTCCAGCATCTATATCGGTTGGTAACGGTAACGTAGAATGCATTGGAAGCGCTACTTATTTAGGTAACATTATTACGGATAAAAGATGAACTGGCGAGAATGTCCATAACCGCATTTTCAAAACGAGGATAGCTTTTATAGCTATAGTTTTAACGGAGACAACAAAACGCAAATGGTCCGGGATCGGGGACACACTTTGACGAACCGCAAAAAGTATAGCAAGGCAAGCACTGCGATGGAACCCACAATGTAGTCGGCGACTGACTTTGCCCCGTCACTAAGTCAAACTAAATTATATATATGTATATATATATTTCCTTTAAAATGTAATCACAACCAAGAAGTACAAAAGTAATAGTCAAAATACGAAATTGACAAACTGATGTGACACTCTGCATAACATGCATTTTCGTCATACCCCGAAAAAGCTAATTTTGACGTGCCCGTGACACTCTACATAACATGAGCTTAACTATTTTACAGTCACTACTTTGCAGTCACAAGTTTGACCTTAATGTATTGTAGTCACTATTTTGCAGTCACTACTTTCCAGTCACTATATTACTGTCACTATATTACAGTCACTATATTACAGTCACTACTTTGCAGTCACTACTTTCCAGTCACTATACTACAGTCACTACATTACAGTCACTATATTACAGTCACTACTTTGCAGTCACTACTTTGCCGTCACTACTTCACGGTCACAGCTTTGTAGTCAAAAATTTGCTCTCAACACATTGCAGTTATTCTTTTATTTTTAAAGAACGAATTTAAGTGCATATATCGGTGATACCTTTTTACGAAATCATCAAGAGTATGTAATTGTTTTAAAATCTGTTACAAATTCAAATGAATTGCTTGATTTGTTATTCATTTTTTACTTATGACAGAAATGTCTCTCATGGTCAGTTTTAACCGTTTAATTGCTAACTCGTTTTCGGCTACATTAGAAGCAACTCATGAGTTTGGAGCTCATTGTATGTTTGGTCGTCGGTTCGCGCAGACGTACAATTTCAATTCGTGACCAATTTTAATAGTTCAAAAAAAAATTTAAATATTTAAAAAAAAATTTTTTTAAATATAAAAACTAATAAATACATTTTATAGGCCAAAAAAAAGTTAAATATTTAGGTATGTTTAAAGTGTTTGAAATGTGAATTTAAAATTAAAAATTATAATTATAATATTATTATAAACATTTATTAATAAAAATTATGAATTTTGAAAGTAATTATCATATTTTGATATATATCATAAAACAAGAACAATAAATTATAATAAAATAGTTCGATAAAATAGTGCTTTATAATAAAATAAAGCAAACAATATTTGTTATAAATTAAATAATATAAAATTAATTGTATGCGAACTTAAAAATAATAATTATTAAATACAATATTAAAGTACAATAACATTTTTTAGAAGTTATTATGAAATTATAATTATATGTATAATAATTATTAAAATATAAATATTGAATTATAAATTTTAAATTTTCTGCAAAAATTTTGATTTATAATTAACTTCATAAAATAACAATTTAAAAGTGTTAAATTTAATTTTTTTTATCACATTATTTTAAAAACAATTTTTTTATAATTTCCTGAATAATCTCATATAACTTCTATTCCAATTTTTAAAAAAAAAAATAATGATCAGTTTTTAATTATTAATAAAATTAAAGAGTTCAAATAAACAAATACATATATTAATTTGAATTTTTTATTAATTAATTATGTATATGTATATTATGTATATTTCGCCAAAGAAAGATTTTATTTAAATTAATAATCAATTTTCAAAATTTATACAAATATTATTATATAAATAAATAATATAATATAAATATAATATAATAGTATAAATAATAATAATATACTATAATATAAATAGTGTAATATAATAATATATAATATAAATAATACTATTTAGTTTTTATATTTTTAACCGGGCTTAGGTCGTTTATTTAACATATCACTTAATGAAAATGTTTTTTTTTAAATAAAATAAAAAATTACACTTTTTAAACAGTGTTAAATATTAAGTTATATTTAATTTTTATTAAAACAAATTAAATTAAATTTATTAAATATAACTTAATATTTAACACTGCTTAAAAAGTGTAATTTTTTATTTTATTTAAAAAAACGCATTTTCAATAAATGATGTGTTAAATAAACGACCTAAGCCTGGTTAAAAATATAAAAACTAAATATATATTGATCGTAATAACAATTTATTATAAATAATAATATAAATTATTATAAAATTATTTCAATATTATTAAATAGTGCAATTAACTAAATAAGGATTTCATTTTAATTTTTTTAAATAAAAATAAAATATATACAATTCTCTTCAACGGAAGGGAAACCGTTCAAATTAAATGATAATATTTATGTAAAAATTTTTTTTAAGTTTTTAAACTACAATTAAATAAATATAAACATCATTTTAATTTTTAAAAAATAATAAATAATAGTTATAATAATTTTCATATATAAATTTTTTTTAAAATTTCATACAAAAGTAATTAAAAAGTGTTATTAACAATATATTTTCTTTTAAAAATACTTAAATAATTTAAATAATAAATAATGATAATATATAATAATAATTATTAAATAACAATAATGATTATAAACATCATTTTAATTTTTTAAATAATAAATAATAATTATAATAATTTTTATATATAAACTTTTTTAAAATTTCATACAAAAGTAATTAAAAAGTGCTATTGACAATATATTTAATTCTAAAAATACTTAAAAATTTTAAATAATAAATAATGATAAAAAATAATAATAACCATGAAATAACAATAATGATTATAAACATCATTTAAATTTAAATTATAAATAATAATTATAATAATTTTCATATATAAACTTTTTTAAAATTTCATGCAAAAGTAATGTGCTATTAAAAATATATTTAATTTAAAAATACTTAAATAATTTAAATAATAAATAATGATATTAAATAATAATAATAAGTAAATAATAATAATAATAATGATTATAAATATCATTTTAATTTTTTAAATAATAAATAATGATAATTTTAGATTAGACATTTTTTAAAATTTCATACAAAAATAATGTGCTATTAAAAATATATTTAATTTTAATAATACTTTAATAATTATTCACAAAAAAATTGTATTATATTTATAACTCTTTAAAGATACTAACAAAATGTAATTTACCAAAAAAGTATCTGCGAGTGCTTCATATTTAT